GCTTAGAAACCAGATTGACTAATTCATTCCTTTTTCATTATACAAAGTTTTTTTGTTTGTCTTAATTATCGAGTAAATTGAGAGGTCCTGGATTTTGAGTGAGGCCTATCCTGGGAATTGAGAGCATGAGCTTGGGTACCTGGTCTTGGAGACATCTATTTTGAACTTCCAGATATCCCCTTTTACTTCACACCTGAAACTCAGTTGGATTCTGGATAGGGGAGGCTGGCAAGCCTGGAAGTCACCCATGGCAAGTAGGATGTTAGTCCCTCTCTTCATCCCTTAGGGAATCCCTAGCATCTACTTTTGAGAATCTATGGCTAGCCCGGAGAGCTGACCCTGATGCAGAGAGGTTCGTGAGTTGTGTGGGATCCCTAGGGTCCAGGAGAGGAGGAGTCTGGAATTCTCTGGTGACAGGTGCCCTGAGTTTAGGATGCTGGAATTTCAGTCCTGGTTTCTTCCAGCTGGCTTTAGGGAGAAACAATGAATCTCTGGGTCAGAATGGAGTAGGGGTTACTCCTACTCCTACATGATTAATGGAACTCCTGCCTCCCCAAGTGCGGTCAGGTGGAGCCCCTGTCTGCTCCTTTTTTCCTTTTAACTCTAAGCAGCTGCTGACCAAGGGCTGCTATGGATCTGGGGTCAGAGATGAGAGGCAGCATGTCTATGACCTAGAACATTGTCTGTGGGGAAGCACTGGAAGCAGGGAAGCACTGGTAGGAGGTACGGGTCGGGCAGGCTTTCTTTTTTTTTTTTTTTAAGACTTTATTTATTTATTTAGAAGGGAAGGGAGGGAGAGAGGGAGAGAAACATCAATGTGTGGTTGCATCTCACGCTGGTTGCATCTCACGGCCCTCTACTGGGCACCTGGCCTGCAACCCAGGCATGTGCCCTACACTGGGAGTCGAACCGGCAACCCTTTGGTCCGCAGTCTGACGCTCAATCCACTGAGCCATACCAGCTCGGTCAGGAATCAGAGACTCATAAACCTGAGTCCCAGCCCCTAAGTCAGAACCTACCTCAAACATTCCCAGTGATCTTCACACACTGGTATCAATCAGCCAGACGGTGAAGTGGAAAGAGAATTGTATTATGCCAGAGGGGGTTGTCATGTTTCTGGATTTCTTGCCCCTTTTTCTCCCTCCTCCCACCCTCAATGGGTAGCTGGGGTCAGGGAACCCTTGAGGTCCCCTTTTGCAGGTCTTAGATTGGCCAGCCACGCCCCCTGCCAACAATCTGCTCCCAAACATTCCCCTAGCCTCTGCCCCTGCCTAAGTGTCCACCCACCCTCACACCCTGAAGTTAATAGCCCTGGGACCTTCAGGGCTGAGGCTCGACTGGGGTAAGGACTGGACCTATTGGTCCTGAGCTGGTTCATCTTCCTCAGCCCTTCCTAGAACGTGCTCCTTTTCTTCTGCCACACACTTAGGAACTAGACACAGATCCCAGGGAGGAAAAGCTGAGATCACTCAGGCAGTGATTAGACCTTCAAGGCTCTCTGTGCCTGCCCCATTCACAAGGCTGTGAATGAGCCTCTGTCCTCCTGGAGTATGTTGAGGGAAGGTAGGTAGAGAGTCTGGCTTGGGGTGGAAGTGCTGTTCCAGCATCCTTAGTACCCCTCCCAAAGCACTTGCCACACCACAGTTGAGTATACAAGTGAACAGGACTCCAGCTGCCAGGCCATGGCCACACCCACTCCATAGAAGGAAACTGTGTGTGGCTCCTGAGGCTCAGAGAGGGAAGTTGGATTCCAGGACTGGGTGAGGTCAGAAACTGAACTGGATTGTATTGGAATCAATCTCAGTGGATTAGGCAGAAGCAGAGCCAGCCCAGCAGAAACAATGTTACTCATTCTCACCCAGTCCAGGACCTGGTGCTGTCTGGTTCATTTCTGTAACTTTAGGGAGGAGCTAGTATGTGAGCTGGCATAATGCTTGTTGACTGACAGCACAAGTGAAAGGGCTCTAGACCTGAGGGAGGAAGAAAGGTGAACGGAGGTTAACAGAGTCACTCCATTGGCCCAGTGTTTCATGTAGGTGATTCCATGGAATCCTCACCGCAACTTTGTGAGGTAGCCATCATCATCCCTGTTTTATAGATGAAGAAACTAAAGCTCAGAAGAGGTAGACCTGTCCAAGGTCACACAGCTAGGAAGAGACAAGCCTGGATGTTATATGCTAGAAGCCGAGAGAGGGGCTACTTCACATTACTTCCCTTTGCCCCTATTCCCTGTGGCTACAGTTCTAGTCACAGCAAGTCTGATAAAAGAAAGCAAAATCTGGGGACAGGGCGCCAAATGCATGGGGCTAATAATGGAAAGAGTCCCACAGGTGTGGGCAATTAGGCCTCACTCAACCTCAAAAAGGCTACAGCCTGTGCTTCTCCCAGGAACACAGGCAGCTATTAGGAGAAAAAAGAGGGGTCTCATAGTGTGGACTCTGCTCTGAGCAGAGATTATGTAGTGCTTTGGGAGGACTTCCATCCGGCTCCTATATACTCTAATTTTTACCAATAGAAATGCTTGTTTGGGCAGCCCTCCCCAATGTCCAGGTGAAAGGGCCATGTTCAGTCTCCAACGCCTGGGTGCAAGTGAATCTTCACCACGTTGTCCTCTATTGAGGGAACAGAGAAAGAGTCTGGGGAACCTGTGAGGAAAGGAGCTAAAGAAGGGAAAGGAGAGGATGACAATCCTTGGGCCTTCTGACCCTGGCCTAGAAATGCCACAAAGCATCCCCTCAACAGATAGGTTTCCTGGTCCTTTGCTTTGGCTCTGGGCCCTACCAGCCCTCGCTTTACCCTGTAAAGACAGTCAAAGTGGTCATACACCCCAGAACTCAAATAATGATCCCAAATTCAAATTCTCAGGTCCTTCTGCCAGAACACAGCCTTCTGTATGGTACCCTCTGGAGGTTAGGACTTGCATCCCCCTCTTCCCACCGAATTCCTCACAGAGCATGCCTGGCCTCTGGCCCCATTCCTCTAGGATGAGGTAGTTGTTCCTTTTGCTGTGATTAGCTCCATCATTCCCTAAGTCTGTGCAAGGATCTGGTCAGCAGCTGCCCCAGGCGTTCTACATCTGGAAGCAGCTGGGCCAGTGCTGTACAGCTCCTGCCATCCAAACACTCTAGCTGATGTTCTGTCTCTGGGGCATCAGAGAACAGGACTAAACCCTCTTTTCTGGGAAGGTTCTCTGAAGGTAGTGATCACAGCTCTGCTGTTCTGATTCCTCCAGCCTGGGGTTCCTTGATTCAGCCCATGAATCAACAGCCCTACAGAAGCAGAAAAGAGGTTTGCATAGAGATGCTGATCACCTCACTGTCCTTGAGGACTGGACTGAAATCAGAGCTGAAGTTTGGGCTGAAACTGAAGCCAGGATATAACGGCAGAGGCTGCTACCTTGGTGTGGCCATTTGTGCTGGTGCAGGTTGGAGCTGTGGGCAAAGGCCTTGCCATACTCAAAGCAGACATAGCACTTCTAGCTGCTGTGGGCCTTCTGGTGGAAGAGCAGGCAGGCGTTCTGGCTGAAGCTGTCACCACACTTGCTGCTAGTGTAAGGCTTCTGATCCATGTGAGTGTATTGGTGCTACAGCAGATTTGAACTGTCTACCAAACACTTGCTGTAATTGGGGCACTTAAAGGGTTCCTCACCCTACCCATGTGTGAGCTTTGGTGTTTAAGGAGCTTGAACCTGTAGCAGAAGGTTTTGCCACACCTTGGAAAGGGACAGAGAGGGTTGTTCACACAAGTGGATGTCCTTGCGCTCAGCACACTGGGTGTGCTCACTAAAGCCATGGTCACACTGAGGACACTTGAAAGGTCGTTCTCCATTGTGGGTGCACTGGTGCCACAAGCAGTCAGCTGTTCCTGAAGTTCTTGCCACACTCACAGTGTCAACTCTGGTGCTTGAGCAGATAAGAGCTGCACCCAAAGCTGTCACCGCACCAGGCAGTTTCTCAGGATGAAGCTAACACTGTCAGTCTTACCACATTCTGCACAGGTGAAGGGCTTCCACCTGCGTGCACCCATTGGCGTTTAACCAGGTCCTAGAGGCAACGGCCCCAAACCTCCTCGCACTCTGGGCACTTGAGGGATCGGAGGCCTGAGTGGGAGCGACAGTGTCGGGTGAGGTTGCAGTTGCGGCTGAAGCAACAGTCACACTCAGGGTAGGGCTATGGCTTCTCGCCAGTGTGTACCCAGCGGTGCTTAACCAGATCTGAAGCCAAGTTGAAAGCTCTTGCCACACTGCGGACAGCAGTTGGGCTTGTCACTCGTGTAGCTGCTTTGGTGAATGAGGTCAGGGAGGTAGACTGAGGTCGAACCACACTCCTAGCACTCAAAAGCTTTGGAGATTGCAGGACAGTTGGTCCTTGAAGGGGCTTCTTCCTCCCCACATCCAGAGCCGAGTGTGGATAAAAATGGAAATATCCACTAGCCCGTGTCGCTCTTGGCAGCTAATGGTTTCGGTAGATTTAACCCTCTCGTTCATCTGATCATTCAAGAGCTCCCCATCTGCGGCCGCTGTCAAGGAATTTGACACGTTCGGCCTGGCTCGAGATTCTTAATACCTTAGCGCGGACTACGGCTCCCTCTTCGCTGGGATGCGGGGAAAGAAGCCTGAAGGAAAAGGTGCTCACTGCTGAGGGCACCCTGAGGACGGACTAGCCACGTCACCTGGTGCTGCACGATACTGAGACTCCATTGCCGCAAGTCTAGGATCTCCAAATTGCACCAGTCCACTCCGGGACCCCTGGGAGAGAGTATCCCACCTCTTCTAAACGAGGCGTGTTAAGCTTTCCGTGCACTACATATCCCAGCATGCACCGCACGCGCCTCCTGGGCTCGCGCAACTATCAGATAAATAACTACTACCATCGAAGTGCTTTCTGCGACTGTGCAAGAGTCAGAGTACCGCGATCGAAAACTACAAATTCCGACTTGCTTAATAACTGCGGTGGCGCTACTTAGAAAACGTCAGAGAGGAGGTGCCTGGCTACGTCCCTCTCTTCCAGTTCCGCTCCCTCGGATCAGCGGCGAAAGGGGGGCGGAGCTTTAGGCCTGAGCCAAGATGGCGGCTGCGAAACCAACCCCTGCGGACTCGCTCTCTTTCTGCCTCGCGCAGCTCACGGCGGCGGCCGGGGAGGGTCTAGGTGGGCTAAAGGACACAGCTACCAACGAGACACCCTTAGGCCGTGCGCTCTTAGCCCTCCGCACGCGCTACGTCAAGGCTGCGGGGGGAATCGAGCGCTTCCGGGCACGCGGCGGGCTCCTCCCCCTTCTCGTGCTGCTACGGCAAGCGTCTGCAGTGGGTCCCACCCCGTCCCAGACTGGCTCTGGCTCCGCCCCTTCGTCGGTCGAGTCCGAGGCTTCTGCTGGCCCCGCCCCCTCCGTTGCGTCCTCGTCGGCGCCCTCGCCGCCTGCGCGCTTGCGCAAGACCCTGGACTTGGCGCTCAGCATCCTAGCCAACTGCTGTACAGAAGGGGCGTGCCGGACTGAAGTGCGCAGACTCGGAGGTATTCTCCCTTTGGGTAAGTGCTCCGCCCTCATTTCCTAGACGGATTCCACGCACTCCCTCTTCTTCCCCGGGTGTGGGCGGTGTCTTGAGTTCTTTGTGTTGTACCCTGGAAGAACGTGTTTTTGACAGCGCGGCGCACACACGTCTCAAGTTTTCATGCCTCCTCATGTTACATCTCTGTTTATAGTCTAGTCGAACCCTCCCAGATCAATAATTACAGTTATTGCCTGGGTATTGATTGCCGGGCGCCTCCCTCGCCTCTGGGCTAGTGAGGCCAAAGAGGGGTTTTTTACCCTCCATTTATAAGGTTCTTAGCAGACAATGGCTTCTAAGTTGACAGCCCTGTGCAGGGCTGTCATTTGATGAGGTAGAGCTTGGAAGATGTGGTGGTCCAGAAAGTGGGCTCTGCAGTCAGCTAGACACTCCGATGCTAGGTAAAATGGGATGATATAACTACTTCTCAATAGTGGAGTTGGGAGAAAATTAAATACAGATATAGAACGCAGGCATTCTAAGCATGAACTGGGTACTTCAAGTTACTAAGAATTAAAACAATTAAGAGCAAATCCTAACAAAAGACGGCAGGCTTTTCTGTTTCCCAGCTAAGTTGGCGCCTCCTGGTGGCAACAGTGTAAACACAGTTTGCACAGTTTACGCCTGTATGAAATTGTGCGAATTTTGATAAAATCTTAAAATTTTTGGATAAAATGAAACATCAGTATACTTTAAATTTATATAAAATGCATCTGGGCCAATGTATGTTTGAGAAGAGGCCTGGTACATTAATTACTCCTCAAAAAATTAAAGTTTTTGTTATTAGCGTATAACCCCCCCCCCCCCGCCATTATTCAGTCACTATTTTGCCTTTTAAATATCTTCTGATTCCATCCATTTCTATCCCTCTTCCATCACGTGCCCAGAGACTTGTGCCCAGGTTCTGGGCTGTGCTGGTAGCTGACTTGGTTCAAACCACTTCCTCACCTGGGCTATTGCAACAAACTCCTTGGTGCTTCCCCTGCCGTATTCTTTTTCCCTATAATCCATTCTCCCCCCCCCCCCCCCCCGGTTACTAGATTCCATCACATCACTCCCATTCTTAACGACCCATATGACTCCCAGTGCCCTCACATTCAAACCCCGATTCCTTGGCCTGGCATTCGAGGCTCTTCATGAGTCATAGCAGACATTGGGTCTCACCTATAGACCTTTGGAAAGGCTGCTTCCAAACTTGAAATGCCCTAAAGCAGCGCCATTCATCGTCCTTCCAGTAAATATCTACCTATTTGACCTTCCAGACCCAATAAGTATTAGTTTCTTCTGGAGGACTTCCCTGACCCTCTCAGGCCACATTCTTGAGGTGATTATTGAGAGAGACAAGAAACAGTAGAACCCTGAAGAGGCCAAATTCTCTTGCAGTGAGTATTCTTCAGTGTGTGAAGACAGACAGCATCCAGAACCGAACAGCCCGTGCTCTGGGCAACTTAGCCATGGAACCTGAGAGCTGTGGGGACATCCATTCTGCTGGTGAGAAGGCTATGAGTATAGAGTTGGCTAGGGCTTGGGGTGGGACAGGGGCTTGGGTGTTTGTCTTCGCTCATTCTGTGTCCTTACCTTCCCTCTCCAGGTGCTGTTCCCTTACTCGTTGAGAGCCTGACGGCCTGCCAGGACTCACAGTGCCGGCAGAGTGTGGTCCGTGCCCTCCGCAACCTGGCAGACTCACCCCAACACCGCCTGGCCCTGGCACAGCAGGGAGCAGTACGCCCCCTGGCTGAGCTTCTGGCTGCAGCCCCAGACCCTGCACTGACCTTGGCCCTAGTCCGTGCTCTCCTGGAGCTAAGTCGAGGCTGTTCCCGGGCTTGTGCTGAGCAGCTAAGTCTGGGTGGGGGACTAGGCCCACTGGTCAGCCTGGCCTCCCACCCCAAAAGGGTGGTACGTGAGGCAGCTATCCTGACCCTTGCCAATCTATGTGCCCAAGGCCTGGTACGGCCTGCACTCGGTAATGCTGGTGGTGTGGAAGTGCTGCTGGGTGAGCTCCAGCGGCGCCGGGGACCCAGTGGGGCTGGCCCAGCCTCCCAGCAGCCCCTGGTGCGGGCTGTGTGCCTACTCTGCCGGGAGGCCATCAATCGGGCCCGGCTGCGTGATGCTGGTGGTTTAGAGCTGCTGATGGGCCTGTTGCGGGATCCTCGTGCCAGTGCCTGGCACCCTCGTGTCGTGGCTGCCCTTGTGGGCTTCCTCTATGATACAGGGGCCCTGGGCCGGCTACAGGCTCTGGGACTTGTACCTCTCTTGGCTGGGCAGCTGTGTGGTGAGGCTGGTGATGAGGAAGAAGAAGGAAGAGAAGCTGCTTCCTGGGACTTTCCTGAGGAGCAGACCCCTGAGCGAATAGAGGCTGGAAGCTTTCGAAGCCTCAGGTGAGTCCCCGCCTGAGCTTTGGGATGGGGTTTGTGTCTACTCTGGCTCTCTTCACAACCCTTACCCCCATTCTGTCTCAATAAGACTTTCACTGACTTGATTCTTTGTTTTCCCTGGATATGACCACTTCCCAGTCCCCATTAAACACACCTTCTCTCCCCTGGGTCCACCTTTGACCTTGGCACCACCCCAGCACCTCTGAACTTTGGGGTTCAGACAGGTTCGCTGGAAGGTAGTATGTGCACTGGTTGTATTAGTATACTCTGGAGTCTAAGTTCTTATTTTGGTACTATCACTTACAAGCTGAGTTATCATGGGAAACTTAATTTCTCTGAGCCTCTAATTTCTTGAATATAAAATTGAGGATAATAATACATACCTACCCCATGGAGTTGTTGTGAAGATTAAATGAGGAAACTTTGGCACTAAACACAGCTCAATAAATGTCAGCTGTCTTGTGAACTCTCTGACTTCATTTCCTACTGTTCTCCCTCGTGCCCACTACAGTCTTGCACAATAGCCTCCTAGCTAGGTTTTTAACATCACAGGTAAGTATCATCTCAGGGCCTCTTTAGTTGCTGTTCCCTCTGCCTAGAGTACTCTTCCTCTCATATTCCTTGATTAGATGTTACCTTCTCAGTGAGGGTACCATCACCACTGGGTTTTTTGTTTGTTTGTTTGTTTGTTTTTAATTTCTAACTAGTAACAAGAACTGAGAAATATAGTCACTTTATTTTTATTTATTTATTTTTAGAGAAAGCGGAAGGGAGGGAGGGAAGCATCAATATGTGATTGCCTCTTGCACGCCCCCTGCTGGGGACCAGGCCTGCAACCCAGGCATGTGCCCTGACTAGGAATCAGAATGGGCCACCCTTTGGTTCTCAGGCCAGCACTCAATCCACCGAGCCACACCAGCCAGGGCACCACTGTTTTTTAAATGTCAGCTTTTCTCTCTTCCAGCTCTATTCCTCTTCTATTTCTATTCCTTTTCATTTTCTTGATATGCATCCCTTCACTAACTCCACACTAACATGCCTTATGGTTTCCGCGTTTATTTTGTTGTTTGTTTCTGCTTACTAGAATATAAACTCTCAAAGGCAGGAAGTTTTGTTTTGTTTATTGCTTCTTCCTATCACCTAAAATGGGGCTTGGCATATAACAGGCATCAGTCATTGCTGAATGAGTTGGGGTTTTCCCTCCTCCTCTTTCTCACCTTTCTGCCCTTCTGGGCACTTCTTCTCCCAGGCTTCTGTCACCTTCTTTTGGCCCTCCTTGCCTTTGCCTTGGCTCTGAGTTCAGTCTCCTCTTTCTCCCCTCTGCAGGTCGTGGCTGATATCTGAGGGCTATGCTGCTGGCCCAGGAGACATCTCTCCGGACTGGTCTCCGGAGCGCTGTCCTCTGCCTCCTCCGCCTGAGCCAGCCGAGCCAGCCAGCCCTGCCAGGAGCTCAGCCTTGGTGCGGACTCCTCGTGCTCTACGCACACCAAGCCGCAGCCCTGCTGCCACTGAGGAGCCTTGGGGCCGTGAGGGACCAGCGCTGCTGCTGCTTTCGCGATTTTCCCAGGCCCCGGACCCAAGTGGGGCGCTGGTGACAGGCCCAGCCCTCTGCGGCCTACTGGCCTACGTGACAGGTGCACCAGGCCCACCAAGCCCGCGTGCACTGCGCATCCTGGCGCGCCTCACCTGCAACCCTGCCTGCCTCGAGGCCTTCGTGCGCAGCTATGGAGCTGCGCTGCTGCGTTCCTGGCTGGTGCTTGGTGTCGCCCCGGACGACTGGCCCATGCTGCGTTCCCGGCCCCTCACCCTGCGCAGCCATCACCGGGAGCTGGGTGTGTCCCTGCACCTCTTTGCTCTATATTCCACTTAGGCTTCAGTGAGCTCAGAACCTCGTCTCACCACTCCTCCCTCTCTCACTAATCTCTCAGTCCAAACAACCCTAGCCACCAGGAATGAGGAAAGGAAGGCTCCATCCGGCTCCATTGTCAGCCTACAAAGTTCTGCTCCATACTTTGCCTAAGACTTGGGGGCCAGGTATCCCCAAACCAGGCTTGGCCCCAGCAACTTAGGGTTGTGCCTGTTAGCATTTCCTTCCCCAGTTTACTCATGGTTCTGCATTGTCACTGACCTGTGAACCCAGGTTCAGACACCCTGTGCTTCCAGGTCCCACCACCATTCCAACATTACCAGGGACTGCCCTCTCTCCTGTGTGCTGCTTCAGTCCTTGAGGGCCCTGACTTACTCCCTGACCATCCCACTTCCTGTTCCTGCCCTTGACTTCCAGTTACTAGCATCTGAACCCCATCTCTCCAGAGCTTGCAGTCATCCTCCTTCCCCATGCCTTTATGTCGTGCCCTGAGGTTTTACCCATCTTCCTTTCAGGGCCCAAGCGGTCTGCCTTGTCCATCCCACCCCAGTGTTGGACACCAGCTCCCAACCTGACCCACTCTGCCCATCCCCACAGGTGAGATGCTGCTGCAGAACCTGACTGTGCAGGCTGAATCGCCCTTTGGAGTGGGCGCCCTCACTCACCTACTGCTCTCTGGGAGTCCTGAGGACCGTGTGGCCTGTGCACTGACCCTGCCCTTCATCTGTCGGTGAGGGGGATGTGGGTGCCTTGCAGGGGTCAGGGGAGCAGGTTGCTATCCCCAGGCCCGCCCTTTTCCACCTTCTGAAGGACTCCCTTTCTCCTCAAAGGAAGCCCTCTCTGTGGCGCCGGCTACTTCTGGACCAGGGTGGCCTTCGTATCCTCCTGTCAGCCCTAACTCGGCCAGCTCCACATCCACTCTTCCTCTTCTTTGCCGCAGACTCCCTTTCCTGCCTCCAAAGCCTGATGTCTCCCACTGCAAGCCCAGCCCACCCTCCTGCAATCCCCTTGGACCTAGACCCGCCCTCCCCTTGCCTCTATGAACCTCTGCTGGGCCCAGCCCCCATCCCAGCCCCTGATCTACACTTCCTGCTGGACTCAGGCCTGCGGCTCCCTGCCCAGCGAGCTGCCTCATCTACTGCCTCCCCTTTCTTCCGGGCCCTGCTAGCTGGCAGCTTTGCTGAAGCCCAGATGGACCTGGTACCTCTTCGAGGGCTATCAGCCAGTGCAGCCTGGCCTATTCTGCATCACTTGCATGGCTGCCGGGGCTGTGGAGCAGCGTTGCAGCCCATTCCCCTGCCAGGCCAGCCCCTGCTGGGCTCAGAGGCTGAGGAGGCACTAGAGGCTGCTGGCCGTTTCCTGCTGCCTGGGCTGGAGGAGGAGCTGGAAGAGGCTGTGGGGCGTATCCACCTGGGACCCCAAGGTGACCCAGAGTCAGTGGGTGAGGTATTTCGCCTGGGCCGGCCCCGGTTGGCTGCCCACTGTGCCCGCTGGACACTAAGGCCAGGGCAGTGCCCGCGGAAGCGAGCCTTGGCCTTAGTGGGGCTTGTGGAGGCAGCCGGCGAGGAAGCAGGTCCCCTTACTGAGGCTTTACTGGCTGTGGTGATGGGAGTTGAAGTGGGGGGCAAGGGTCCCAGCCTAGACTATTGATACCCCCTTGGAGGGGCCCCAAGAGTCAGTTGGCTATGAAGGCAGCCTCCCTCAGCTGCACGGGAAAGAGGCCAAGCAGAAGTCACCACCGAGGGCTGACGAAAGGATGGAACTGGACCCCGCGATGATGGGCTGAAGACTCTGGAGTGAGAAGCCAAGGTCAGGGTCTGGGCATGGGACCCATGAGATGGAGAAGAGCCCAGAGCCCCAAACCCCTGTCTTCACCCAGCCTTCTGGAGTTGGGATTAAAACTTTGGAGTTGGATACCCCTATTGTGTGGTGTCTCTATTTTCCTGTGGGTATCTCTTCACCCCTTCACCAATAAAACAGGGTATTGTCCAGATCTCTGGATCTTGATACAGGCTACCCTTGGCATGTAGGAGTTCAGTAAGTGAAATGCAACCCTGGGATAAAAGAAAGTTCCCAGGCTTCTCCCTAGGATGTGGTCTTTGGCCCCTAGGGAAGCCTGCTTCCTGCTCACATGCCTTCATTGCTCAGGCAGCCACTCAGCTGGGCACAGACTTTGGTCAGGGCTGAGAGGGCAGTGCTGCGGGAATGCTGAGTTTGGCAGTGTTTGGCCAAAGCTTTGGCATTACTCTTTTCAGAATGTCCATCACCCATCATGGGCCTTCAGTCTCTGGGTCCATTTTCATCTCGGGCCAAGTGCTCTCCTGCTGTTTGCCTAAAAGAAGACCTGCTGTGTTCCTGGAGTCTCTGAAGCCCTGTCTTAGTCATGCCCAGAGAGAGTCAACACTTTGGGCTGGCACTTAGTTAAGGGAAGAGCTCATGTTGCTTTGGTCTCCAAGACAGGGCCTCCATCACCCGGCTCCCAGATCTATGACCACTCAGGTGGCAACCTATCTTTGAGGAGACTACGTGTCCTGAGTCTGTCAGCCGACCTCTGGGGGGGCTGTCTCTGTGCCTCTGTGAGCCTTTGTCCAGGTCTCCATTTATTAAGCTGCGTGTTAGAACCACCCAGACAGCTTTTTAAAGGATTAAAAAGATACTGATGCCTGAGTCCTTTCTGATTAATTTGGACTGAGGGGAGGGTGCCCTGGCAATCAGTGTTTTAAGAAAGTCCCCCAAGTTGGCCCTGACCAGTGTGGTGTGGTTGGGCATTGTCCCGTAAACTGAAAGGTCAAGGGTTCAATTTCCAGTCAGGGCACCTGGCTGAGTTCAGTTCCCAGCCAGGGTGTGGGCAGGAGGTAACCGATCAATGTTTCTCTCTCTCTCTCCCCCCTCACTCTAAAAATAAATCTAAAAAGCCCCCGGGTTCTGATTTGCTGCTTTACCCACCCCCTCCCCGCAACACATCCCTTTCATTTTAATTAACATTGCCTTACAGGAAAAATATGGAATTAAGATTAGTTTTTGTATGGATCTCAGCTCAGAATCAGGGCTATATTACAAGAGATAGTGTTAGCAAATATAACTACACAATTGAGAGCCATTTATGACACTATGATTCTTACTGTATTTTTTCTGAATTACAGTCTTAAAACAAGGACTGTACCCTATTCTACCCTGGTTAGCATTGTTTTAAGCATTTGCCCCATTTACAACAGAATATTGCATAGCTCAATCCCACATGCAAAGAGGTGTGTGCTGTAAGAAAGGTTACATTTTAATTAAAAATTATACACATAAATCAAAGCCCATGTTAAATATTAAATACGCTTCATCCAACAAAACCATTTTGTATGAAATAATTTACAATGATGCTTTGCTGTACAGTTGCAGCAGCAGATGAATATAATCATAACCTCAGTACTTGTTAACTGCAGAATTCGAACCCTGTACTTGTCACATTTTGAGAGAAAAAAATGTTTCAACACTCAGAGCTTGCTCAGAACTTGTCACACTTGCAAGAACTTGTATGAGTCACAATGCCACCCTACAAGAGAAAGTGCTTCATCACTCATGTTTGGTACTTCTTGGTTTCAGCACTGATCAGAAGTTCTGGAACAAATTAACAAGTACCAAGATACCACTGTATCTTGTAAATGCAATAGGAGTAAACCCATTCATTCTTTTGTGGCATAGTGGTCACACATCAGCTCACGTGGCCAGCTAATTGTTTTTAATCCTCACCTAAGGAAATTTTCATTGATTTTAGAGAGAGAGAAACATCCATCAGTTGCTGTCCATACACACTCTGACCAGTGATCTAATTGAACACACAACCTTTTGGTGTTTGGGATTACACTCCAACCAACTGAGATACCCAGGCAGGGTATGGCCAGCTAAGTTTTTAAGGCTGAAGTGCGCATGTCTGGACTCAGGTCTGGGTTGAGACCCACAGTCCAATGGCTGCAGCACTACTGTATGTGTCCATAACCATCTACAGAGTGTCTTGATTTATCAGGAGCTCAGTCCACGAAGGGCTCCTTGTTCCTTTGTGTTGCTGAAGCCTGTGTCTTTCTTCTCTCGGTTCAAAAGTATCTTGGAAAGGAGCTCTTTTGGACCAGGTCTGGGTCACCTCACTGTTGGGGAAAGTCTTTGTCTTGAAGGCTGGCTGGGTGGGATCTGGCTGCCTGGGAGCGTTTTCTGAGTTTGCACGAAATTTGTGCCTGGGTTTCAGTTGAACTGTGTCTGTTTTCAACTCTTGGAGAAAAGATCCTGCTTTAGAATCTGCGGAAGGATTCATTGTGTCTCTGTCACAGAGAGATTTCTTTGTGTTTTAGTATTGTGCCTTTTGGAATCTCTGTTTATGTCATTATTTGTCAGTGTCTCTAAGGGAAGGTCTCTGAGCCTGGGATCTGACTGATTCTTACAACATTATTTCTGCCCCCAGCCCCAAACTTCTGTCTGGATCAAGTCTCTCAGGAAAGGCCTGGGTGGGAGCGGGGCACTGTCTGAGGCTCAGGATGCTAACTTTGGGAGGTGTCTGCTTGCGGGCCTCAGCCGGTGTCTCAGAGTCTCACTGGGCCGAAGATGCCGGGCATGGTCTGGAAGAGCCACATCTCTGACTCGGGCTGTGGCCGCCTGAGGCTCCCCGCAGCTGAGGCCAAGGCTGGGGTGTGGCAACCTCCCTACAAGCAGGGGGACTGGGCCTGCGTGGGCGGCAGCCCTCCCTCCCGTATTACACGCCCCCACCCAGGATTCTCCCGTCCATTGCCCCCTACTCCCCCCACCTTTCCCTTTAGCCCCATCCCAACGGATCCCGGCTTCCTTACATGGTCACGGCTGGGCCTTCAGCTCCCGGACGTCCTCCCCCACCCCCACCACCCTCCGCCCCCACCGGACACGGCCCCCGCCCTGCAAGCCCAGCGTGGTCCGCCTGCGCCCCACCATGGAGGACCTGGGTGAGTGGGGCCCGAGTCCCCTTGTACCCAGCCCTTCACCATCCCCTGGACCGGCTTCCCCATCCTGGAGCTCCCTGGCACTCCCCCGCATCTCCTCATCCTGCCTCCCGTCTTCTCGCTTCTGGTCTCTGCCCGCGCCTTCTTTCCGACTCCACGTCCCCCTTCCTGCCTCTCCCTTCCTGCCTTTCCCGGGCCGGCCGCTCCCTCCCTTCTTTCCTCGCTCTGCTGCAGACAGATGGGCAGGGAGATGCAGCGCCTGCCCGTGGGCGCCTGAGCGCAGGGGCTCTAAGATGGGAGGGGTTAAAGGAGTCTTGGGTCCGGGGCTGGGAAAATAGACGGAAAGGGAGACTCTGACATCAAGTTTTGGAAAAGAAGGGGGCCTGCCCCAGGGTTTTGGGAAGGAAAGAGTTAAAGATTCCTAAGTTTGGTAGGGGTCAGGTAGATGCGAGGGAGAGGTTAAGGGTTCCACCGCGGTCCCAGAGATTAAGAGTGAAGGGGCAGGAACTTCTAGGTTCTGGAAGAGAAAGGAGATGGGGGCGGCAGGTAGTGGGAAGGGGTCATTTTGTTCTCCCTCTCTGTTGAAACTGGGGCTGGAAGACTGTGCCCTCCCACTGTGAGACACAAGGGGTTCCAGCACCCTGCAGTAGGGGGTGCTGCTCAGTAGGGGTTAAGAGCTCTGCTACTGGGGAGAATAAGCCAATCAGAAAGCAGGTCCCTGCAGATTCACCAATGAGGTGCATAGGGTGGGACCCAGTCCTGGCGGTGGGCCAGAGCTGAGTGGGCCTGTTTAGGTCCGGGGAGGACTTGGTGGGCGTGGCAAAAGAGCATCCAATCAGAAAGCTGGGTGCCAGGCATGTAGCCAATTGAGCAATTTGGGGTGGAGCCAAATTGGCTCCAGTAAAGACCCAATTTTGACTGCATTAGGGAAGATTTTGAGAATAAAAAAAAATCAGGTGGCTGGATTTGTTCATGACTCTCAATACTGGCTTCTGTCCTCAAATACTGCACATTTGGAACCCTATCCTCTCATATCTTAAGGTCCTGTCTCTGCCCTAACCTTGACCTCTCAACCTCTCATCCTGATGGTGTCTCCCTGCAGATGCCCTGCTCTCTGACCTGGAGACCACCACCTCACACATGCCACGGTCAGGGGCTCCCAAAGAGCGACCCCCAGAGCCCCTCACATCTTCCCAGCCCTATGGCCCTCAGCCACAGGTGAGATCGGATGCTGTGGACTGGGGCAACCACTAGGGCCAGTCTGGCCAAGGCTAGAGGAATCTGGGCCTGAATGAGACAAAGTACAGGTCTATCATCCCACACATGTCTCTCTCTCTCTGTAGATGGGGTCTGGGGAGTCTTTAGGAGCCTCTGGAGACAAGGACCATCTGTACAGGTAAGGGGCCTGGGAACTAGGGAATGGGAAAGCCAATTAAGACTCAAGGTCAGGAGGCTTTGGATTCCCCACCCTGAACCCAAGCTCCCACCCTGTTTCCCAGTACGGTATGCAAGCCTCAGTCTCCAAAGCCTGTGGCCCCTGCGGCTCCTCCATTCTCCTCTTCCAGCGGTGTCTTGGGCACAGGGCTCTGTGAGCTAGACCGGTTGCTTCAGGAACTTAATGCTACTCAGTTCAACATCACAGGTACCAGGGTTACTGAGGCAGGTCTTGATGGGATAGGGGCAGGGCAGGGAAGGGCAGAGATTAAAGGGTATAGATTTCCCAGAGTAGCTAAAAGGACACAAAGCCTTAAGTGGGAGGGTGGGTAGAGCATGGCCCTATGTCCAGTGCCCTTCTCTCCTCTCTGCAGATGAAATAATGTCTCAGTTCCCATCTAGCAAGGAGACTGCAGGGGAGCAGAAGGAGGACCAATCTGAGGACAACAAAAGGCCCAGCCTGTGAGTTTGGCACA